TAGCTATATAAAAAGAAGACTTTGGGTATGTGCAACAGAGACCAATAATGAATAGGACAATGAAAACAGCTGAGATCTCTAAGTTGCAGGTCGCTAAGGGACTTATGACATAGTGTCACCTGCCTTCTGGGACTGCACTCAACCTCTGGCTCTTAGAACTGTGCTTCCTACTGGCTGCCTAGTGCCCAGATGAATTCCTGATTGGCTTCTTGACTGGCCCTGCCTGTTTCTAACTTGTAACTAGATGTGTCTTAAGTACTAACACATCTCCTTTGGCAGGTAAAGCCAAGAGGGTGTGAGGACCCAGGCACTTTCACTTGTTGATGGTAGGAATGTATTTTTTTTTAATATATTTTATTGATTTTTCACAGAGAGGAAGAGAGAGGGATAGAGAGTTAGAAACATCGATGAGAGAGAATCATCAATCAGCTGCCTCTTGCACACCCCCTACTGGGGATGTGCCTGCAATCAAGGTACATGCCCTTAACTGGAATCGAACCGGGGACCTTTCAGTCCGCAGGCCGACGCTCTATCCACTGAGCCAAACCGGTCCCGGCAGGAAAGTGTTTTGATACAAACATTTTGGAGGACAATTTGGCAATATGTATTAAAAACTTAAAATTATTTGGATTTGATGATAAAAATCAGAATATCGTTTATCTCTAAGAGGGTTATTGCCTAGGAAGGTGGCTCAAAGAAGCCATCTGGGATGTTGGAAAGGTTCAGTATCTTGATCTGGATGGTTAAAGGGTGCATATATATATATATAAAAAGCATCACTATTGTGCAGGGGCCTGATCTGGCAAGGATCTCCCTTTTCCGAGTCCCGCATGGAAAGAAAGATGAACGAACCGGTTCTAAGTGGAGGTGGCCAGGGATTGAGAAATATTAGAAATAAAGAGAGAAGACACAGAGATAGATTTTAAGCTGGGAGCTGGGAGGGCTGCCGACCTCCTCTGCTGGAGAGACAGACCGATGACCTCCTGAGCCACGCAGTGCATCTATTTATTCTCCAACCCAACAAGGGTTTCACAGGAAAACAAGGAACCCAGGAGAGCCCAGGTTCCACCCTCCTGGACAAACACAAGCCAGGAACTAAGAACATCTCCGCACTCCCAGGGCGGGAGTGCAACTGACATGACTCTGCCAATATCCCGGGCCCAGTCAGCAGCAATTTAAACAACGTCCAGGTGTCTTCCCATTTGGCCCTCTACAACTATGTACACTTAAGATACTTCAGTTTGTACATGTTGAAAAATTTTTTTCATCAGAAAAATATATTTGGAATTTTCGAACCAATAATTCCACCATAATATGGTATCCTATGGTAATAAAGATGCAAAGATTTAGCTCATTGTGTTATTTATAATGTTGAAAAATTAAAAACCTTTAAAATATTCAATAATAGGGAATGGTAAATAAATGATGCTCCATCCACTTAAAATCATGTAATCAAAAATGTCTTACTGATATTGGAAAACACTTACTATATAGTGTTTGGTAACTGAAGCAGGTTGCAGAATAGGAAGGAAACAATAACAAAGACAAATAGCAGTTTTGCTCCCTGATGCAGTGGCGATTTTTCTGGTACCCACAGAAAATGACCAGCTGACGATGGGAACCAGTCAAGCTTCGTGGTTGAAATTGCACCATCAACCATAGTTCTCAGCTCTCCTTAGCTGCTTGTGGTATGAGCACTGGATGCCAGGCAATAACCTAAAGTAGTCCAGTAGGCATAACTCCAACCTCAATTTGGCTGTTTAGACTCTTTGAGGTTCCCATTATTCTGAATCTTCCTTTATATCCTTGGTCAACTCAATTCTGGGAGCTGAGAGGTGGGTGGTGATAATCAGGCTAGAGAAACAATGGCTGGGATATGTGTGTGTGTGTGTGTGTGTGTGTGTGTGTGTGTGTGTGTGTGTGTGTGTGTGTTATATAGCCCTCACTGGCATGAAACACTTGTTTTCTTGTTCTTGCATCTATGTGGCTTGCCTATTGATCAGTTTTGCTATGATGATATGACTCTATTAATGTGTCAAATCCACATGTGTTTTGAATAAAATCAGAATGGAGCTCATGAAAAATTGCCTTTGCTTTTTAATTGCCCAGCTCATTCTGAATTAAAATACTTTCTTTTGGGGGTCTTTTTGCCAGGCTTGGTTGAAATGTGAGTCTCCCCCCACAACCCCAGTTCCCATGCTAATCCTCCCCCTTATCTCAGTTCCTCCTCTGTTCAAACAAGCATACAATCCCTGGGGAGAAGACTGCTACTACTTTCTGAGCTGCCACAGCTGCTGCTATTGTCACTACTACTGGACTCAAAGTCATTTTTAACTTGACTAAGAGCCTGCTGTGTTCCAAGTTCCATAAGGTACCTTAAGAGAGAGTCTAAAGGAAATAAATAGTTATTTTAAATAGCCAGATCCTGTAGCAATTTCTAAAATAGCTTTTAATTTTCACACAGGATTCAGTAATACAGATGTTGCATAAAGCAAGGCTCGCCCCCATTAAGGGCACCTCACTAGTATATGTCTTTGATTACAAAGGTCAAATTACATATGCCCTCTGTGTCAATTGATGAGTAATGTGCTTCTCTCTAAAATGAAAACTCCTTATTCTCTCCCTTGAAATCAGCATGGTAACAAGTTTCTATTTGTCTTCTTTAGGGATCTCTAGCTATATGGTTGCTTTAGGGAAGCCAAAAATCTCTAAAGAAGGTATAAAACAGTCTTTTCCAGCCTGTATAAAACCATCTTTTCTTCCAGGCTTCATCCACAGAAACAAAACCAGTTAATTATGAAGTACTCCTGAGAATTCAGTGCTGATTGTCAGAGTTTTTTTGTTTTGTTTGTTTTTTACATTAAATATATGAGATATTTAGAATGGGGGAGGAAGAGATAAGTAAACAGACCTGAAGACAAACATGGCAAGAGTGCAAATATGGAATTTCTCTCTGCCTTTGTGCAGCTAATTGAGATGGATACATAGGCCAAGCATGCTTAAGACATACATTTCTACAACATCTCATCTCTACCTAGGACATATATCACAGATTTCTAAACCACATCTATTGTGTAGGGTTGCTAATAATACCTGACACAGCATTCAGCCTGGCCCCTGGAGTGTGTGCCCAAGTTCCTTACAAAGGGTTTCCTTTTTAACCTTCAGGAAGCATCTTTTCTTCCTTTGGAAGATGAGAAAGGGCCAGGGCCCTTGGTTCCATTTCCTGCAAAAGGAAACAAAATCTCAGAGTAGATTAGCAAACCAGAGCTGGGAAAAACTACTACTCTTCTTCATCAACTCTCAGAAGTTTTATGCTCAGTTCTAAGATGTTTTTTTGTGTGTGTGTGTGTGTGTTTTGTGTGTGTGTGGGGGGGGGGGAGCGATCACAGGGAAAAGGCTGCAAGCAGTCATCATGGAGAAGGTGGTTGGAAGGAAGCCTGGCAAGTGGAACCTGGGAGCTCTCACTGGGACAGATGATGCCTTCAAAAAGGTCAATTCCCTGGTATGCACAGAGCTGAGTTTCAGAAAGAGCACCCACTGTTATCCCCTCCCTTGCCTTCCATGTCCAGGCAGATGCCTTGGGGCACTTCAAGGAAGCCTCATCCTGTTCTGTGACTGTGTGAGGGCATCAGAACCACGTTTCTGGGCTGACAACATAGTGCTCCCAGCCCAATATTCTAATGGGGTCCGAAAGGACGTGTTGGAGAAAACTTGGTTGTCCTCCAAGATTAAGGACATTCTCACCTCATCCCCAGTTTTCCTTAATTCACAGTGGATCTCCTAGCCACGACTTTATCACTCTTTCCAAAGCTACTTATGTTTTCATCCTATTTCACCTGTTGGGGCTAATGAATTCCTTGGTTTTTTTTTTTATATGGCACATAGATTAATATTTATTTTCAGCTGCCATGGTGGGAAGATCACTGGCCTGGGAGTCCAACAGAACTGAGTTCAAATCCCACCTCTTCCACCTGCTAGCTGAGTGACTACAGGAAATTTTCATTCCTTTCTGAGACTCAGGTTTTTCATCTGTAAAATGGGGTTCTTGATAACTCCTTTTTCTGCCTTGCATGGCTGCTAAGATGGGAAAATTAGGTGTTTGACTTAAAAGCTCCTTCAACAAAAGTACAAACTGGGGAACTGATACAGAGTCAGATTTGTTTTAGCTGGATCTCCTTCTAGCTGTTGGATACTGTTGGTTCTAGAATTCTCAGATGTGAATAAGGCTGTGTTCCCTCTTTCCATCTCTGCATAATTTTATACACTCTGGTCACATCCCTTCCTAGCCTTCATCTTTCTAGACTAAAGAGTCTGCGTTTGTTTAATCTATCTTCATATGGCAGTCCCCTCCACCCGCCTCCATCCCCTTGATTATAGAGTGGCCCTTCTCTGGATCATGTCCAGCTCCATTATGTCATTCTGGAAGCACTAAAACCAAACCTGCACAAATGTGTGTGTGTGTGTGTGTGTGTGTGTGTGTGTGTGTGTGTGTGTGTTACTCAGCTCTGAACCTCAGACTCTGCCCACCCCCCAATTATAAATCCTAGAACACGATGTTTGCTCAAGACCCTTCTCCAAACTACAGAGAAGGCCATTTGGTCCCAGGCTGTAGCCTCCCCCTCTTTCTCTGTGCAGCCTTGGCCCCAAGGGGCAAAAAACGGCTCCCTGTCTGGCTTGGGAGGCTGGGAGGTGGATAACTAGGATGAGGGGGGGGGGTGAGGGGGAGGGAGGGGGGTCTTGCGCAAGCGCACACCAATGCTGGACCGCCAATGCAGCTGCCTCTCTTGCCAGAGGGAGGCAGAAGAGGAGGGAGGAAGGGAGGGAGGAGAGGAGAGGGGAGGAGGAGGCGGCACTTGAGCTGCAGCTCGCAAACCCAGGCAGTCTTCTCTCTGAGAGAGGGGGAGCGGCTACCGAGGTGTAGGATGCTCTTGGAGGCGCCCTGAGCCAGGGACGCCTGAAGCAGCCTCGTTGGCCAGGGCAACAGGGCAGCTTTCACCATGCATCAGTCCCTGACTCAGCAGCGGTCCAGCGATATGTCTCTGCCCGATTCTATGGGTAAGTCCAGACGCTCTTCCTAGGCGGCAGCAAGGGGTGAGTACACTGCCTTCTGGACAGGGAGTGCCCTGACAGCCTAGAGAGGCAGGGAGCTGGGTTAAGGAGGGGGTCCGCATGCCCCAGCCTCTGAGTCTAGGACCAGAGCCCCAGGGGAGCGGCCCAGCAGGGGAAGGGGCAAAGTGATGAGGTTGGAGCCCCAGCTAGCTTGGGAATCTCCTTGCCCGGAGTGTGGGTGTGAGTGTGTTTGTGTGAGTGTGTCAACAGACTTGCAGCCCGTGGTAAATCCCAGCTGTCTGGGTATCAAAACACTTCCCTGCAACCTGCGCCTTCGTTTTCCATTCGACGGTCTCTCTTTGCAAAGTCGGCGTCACTTCTAAGAGCTCTATAATAACAATAATTACAAGAAGCGGGGTCCGCGCCCCCTCCCAACTCCATGGAAGCTGCCCCGAAATTCAGAGCTGTAGTGGGAGGGAGACTGACTTGCACCTCTCTGACGGGGAGGTTTGCGCAACCCTGGGGGATGGGCGGGTGGGGGAAGAAAAGAGGTGGGGCTGGAGGGAGGGGAATTCCTGAAGAATCACTCAAGACAGTCCAGCCGAGCAGTCTGCAGTGGCAGCATCAACATTTCTTGAATTTGATTCCTGTTCTGCTCCAAATACAAGATATGGAGTGTGTGTGTGTGTGTGTGTGTGTGTGTGTGTGTGTGTGTGTTGGTAGGGGGCGGGGGGCGGGCGAGAGCACGAGAAAGAAAGATCGAGCTCGAGCCCGCGCATCTTCTGAAATCGCAGTTTCCCTCTCTGGATGGAATAGAGGTGCAGCAGGAACCCACTAGCCTGATTTGGTTAACACCTTTCCTCATCAAAACTGGGGGATGGCTACCTTCAGGCACTAAATTGGCTGCCCCTCAAAGCTGCTTTTTCAGTTACAAACAAAACACAAACCCAGTTCTTCTCAGCTGTTAGGCACCTTCCCAAGCCCTATGATTTCATTGGGCGTAGAAATTAATTTGGAGCCCAGGAGAGCGGGAGGGGATTGTTAAACCCTGATCCCACCTAATCTTAAAAATCGCCTCAAATACACTTTAACCAAATAGAATTCTCTCGTTCCAACATACTTTGCATTCTGCAAAATCCCTCCGTCTTGAATTCCTGCAATCCAGTCTGCTCAGGTCTTCTCCGCAGAATTTGCGGGAACACCTGGCGAGGAAGGGCGGGAGAGGATTGCACCCAGTCTGTGAGCTCCCTATTGCTGGCAAAAGACTAGGTCTCAGCAGAATTAGTTCACTGGAGGGACCTCTCATAAAATATAGTATCCATATTTTTATTGGTTTTGCATATTCAGAATAATAATTTGCCTTTTTTTAAGGGCATAGTTATTTGCAACGTGGTACAAATGAGGCCAAGGACTTGGTTCCGAACCAGGACCCAGCAGTACCAGACTCCCCCCATCTCTCTCCCTAGCACGAGCACACACAAGCACACACAATGCACTCCTCGCCTTGGCCAGCTGTGGCGCCAAAGCTGCCCTGGCTCCCAGACTCTAGGCAGCTGCGCAGGAGGGCTGGAGGGAGGGGGCAGGGGAATGAGGGGTAGGGGGGTGGGGGTCCGCAGTACACTGCCTGCAGCCACCACAACCACCTGCCAAGCAGTCCAACCTCTCTCTCCCGCCCGGCCATCCGCTTGCGGAGGAGTACACAGGTTAGTAACCCAGGGCTTAAAAATGTTGCTACTTGGCACACTGCTCTGTGGGTTTGGGGAACAAAATGAGGAGATTCTTGGGCTCCCAGGGGCCCTCGCATTTCCTGAAAGGTCTGCGCAACAGGAAGCCGAGTGGGCTTCGTCCAGATACTGCCGGGAGAAGAATCATGGATCCCTTCTGGAGTAGGAGTATGCTCGATGCATCCCTCTTTGGAAAGTCTGCAGATCCAGGGCGCGAGCAAACCCGAGTGGGGTGGTAACCATGAATTTTCACACTGTGGGCAAGGGAGTCCAGGCTACTTAGGAGCTACTCCCACTTAGCTTTGGCAACACCATCTTCCCTTGCATGGAGCAGAAGGGGAGTGCAGGGGTCAGTCTCCAAGGGCAACATTTCTGAGGGGATTCTCCCTACAGGCAAGACACAACCACAGACAAAACAGTAAAATTTAAAACACACAGCTACACTGAACCGAGGTGCCTGTACCATATGCTGAGCTACTTGTTTACTCGCTGCCTGGGGATGGATGGTTAGTCCATAGCTTGGAGCTGAGCAGAGCACTTGGCAATAGAAAGATGGTAATCTGACTCCAGGGTCCCTTTATCCCTTCTCAGCACCCCTTTTTCCCTTTTAGCAACACCACCCCCAGCAGCTAAGGCATCTCTACTACAGCAGGGCACTCCTTCCCTCCCAAATAACACTTCGGTAACTCACTGGTGGGTGTCTCTGGTCAAAGATTGGCCCATGAGGATGGGGGGATTTCAGTGCCTTTAAGGAAATGTTTGGGAGACTGGCAGAGTCTTGAGGCTCTTCTGTGGGCAGCCACCTGTTTCCATGGATACTCAAGGCTGGGACTTCCTATGACCCCCCCACCCTGTGTGGCAAAGCTAAGGTAAGCAAATCTTAATCAATTCAAAAGATCAGCCTAAAAAATTAGCCCATCATCAACAACAACAAATTAGTCAGTGCACAAGACAGGATACTGCCCCCCTCATCCTCCCTGACTGGAATTACATAATTTATAATCAAGAACATGTACAAGGTAAAACACAAGTGAGCAGAGACAATCACCCTACCTACTGACAACCCACACCTTGGTTCCTGTCAGATACATAATCCTGAAACTAGTGGGCATTAGATGAGTTGTGGACCATACCCACAATTACAATTACAATTGTAGCAGTTATAATTGATATACTTATTGAGTAAGGTACATAGGGACATGAAGTAATGAGTGATTCCAGTGGAGTGAGCTTGGCCAAGAAAAACTTGGGGGAGGTGACTTTGAACAGGTTTCAGAGGAAGGGAAAGACCAAGATCAGAAACTGCAGTGTGGAGATGGAGGGGGGGGGGGGACTCTGACCAGGGGCTGTATTTGAAAGGGTGGAGACAGTAAATAATTGGGTGCTTGTAGAGCTGAGCATCCGGGTCCTCGCTAATCTGGAGTGGGGGGAGGGGGGCATTGCGGAGAAGGAGGGCTGCAGTAGTTCTGCAGGGAGGCTGCCCAGACATGGGGGCGGGGGGTGTAGGCAATGCCTATGAAGGGATTTCAGACTCTCCCATTGCTGTCAGTCACAGGAGAGGTTATTGTTATTCAAACTGGAATATGCTGGGCACCAAGTAGACAGGCTAGTGAGAGACATTGGGGATGTGACACTAGTTGGCAAGAAAGCTTTTAGTTCTGGAGAGCCATCAGGTGTACCCTATTTTAAAAAATCAATTCCATATTTACACACACACACACACACACACACACACACACACACACGGCCTTTTTTTATTAGAATGGAAGCAATTCTGAGATGTTGCCTCTTGTTTATTCAACAAGTATTGACTGCTCACTAGGCATCAAACATTGTGATAAGCACTATTTTCAAGTACCTGCTGCTTTATTTAAGTACTTCGTGGTATTTGAGGTATTTTGATTTGTTCATTTACTAGACACTTTCGGAATCAGATGATCCTCTGTTTACAAGAACATCTAAAACAGGTCCCAAATAGTACTATAATAAGAACATGGCTCTACTTTCCAAAATAAAACAACCACCAGGAAAACGTCCTAAGCAGACACATGAATTGCCTTTTAGGAGCCGGGGCCACACCTTCAGAGAAAAGGTGTGTCTTGCTCTAAGTAGATGTGACTTTTAACTCAAATTAACATTAAAGATAAATAGAGGGTTGATTCGTCACACTTTCCAAAAGGATTCACCCCCAGCTTCCTTAAAATGGTCCAAGTGCAACTAGATGGTCTGTATAGTGTAAAATAAGGGGTGACGTGTGGGAGGAGGAGGGGACAGAGAATAGATATTTAACCTAATGATGGGAGACTTTTCTTAGGAATTTTACCCAAAGCAAATCCTAACTAGAGGCAAGGCCCCAGTGGAGCTCTAGGATCTTTGCCTGGGTTTCTCAGCTGGCTGCATTTTCAATTCAGGTTCTAAGCAGGGGGAAAAAATAGATTTTCAAATGACACTGTGTGGTTTGCTGAGTCACTTTTCTGACCTGGTTCCTGTGCTTTTAAGAGTTAGAGTGATATTTGCAAAGGAGACCCAAAGGCTGTGAATAGGATCAAAAGCCATTTGGGGAAGGAGCAGGTGAGTAATACAAAAAAAAAAAAAAAAAAAAGATCAGAAAGACCATACACACATAACACTCTCCCAATTAAGTCTCTAAGGTTACATATGAGGTGTTGAAACACTTTCATGTGTCACAAAGATAATCTTGGTATATCTAGATGTTTTCCTTACTCTCTTTTGCCAGTTTGGGGCAGAGATGGTATGAGTGACAAAGGAGAAAAACAGACAGGAATGGGAGGTGATGTTGGTAAGTTTAGCTCAAAGCCCCTCTGTGAAACCAACTGGAAGATTCACTGAGAAGTATCTCTTATTGAATAGATGTTGGGGTCCTTGTTTAGAGAATCATTTCGATCCCCTCAAAATCCAGAAGAAGGATAAGTAATCTTCAAGGTAAACAGATGAAATAAGTCCTGCTCCTCTATTTGAACCACTTGTAGTCTGGCTTCTCCCAGGCTTGCTCATCATGTTTACCATCAGTCTGCTTGCCATTTGCATCCCAAAGACCCCTTTCACACAAAGGGCCCTGATGTCACAGATGTCTCTAGCAGTCCTTTCTGTTTTCCTGTGTAGGCTGGACTTAGGCACCACTGGAGGGGAGCCTTATTTCCCAACTGTCCTTACCCTCCCCTCCACCCCGGGTGCAATAGGGTGCAGAGTGGGTACCTATAGATGCTCATGCCATTTCTACATTTCAATGTAAAGGAGTCTTAGACTAATATCCTATTAGAAATGACCAGATGAGTCATGCCCCTCACTTTCAAGGCTGACGTCAGGGGAGACCGCCAGCCCCTCCCATCTCCCTTGGAGCCTTGCAGGGACTGCACTAGGGAAGACACTCTTGACGACTTTCTTCCCTATAGAAGGGGATGTCTGCTGGGGGCTGAAGGGTCAGCAACCACCTCTCCCTATCACCACCACCAGGCCTCTTGAATCCCAACAGTTTCTCCCTCCTTCCCTCTTTCCTCAACCCCTCTCTCCCCTCCTTAGTGGTGCAGTCTAGGCAGCTTCATTTGGCTGCAACTTCCTAAGGCTGCAGTGAGGCCTCCCCAATGATGGGATCCAATGAACAGGCCCAAGTGGCCTCTTTAGGCCCATAAAGAACAGTGAAGCCACTGGGTGGGCGACCCCATCAGAAGGCTCCCCCCTGCTTCATCCTCACTACAGAGCTAGATTCTCATAGGATAACCCTGTTGTGAGCCCCTCCCCAGGTCAGAGAAATGCATGCAGAGTATGGAGCAGTGCTCCAGTGCTTGATTCCTTTAAAAAAAATTAATTGAAAAGCTAGTCTAGATACCTTTTTTTTTCTGATTTAATAAGCCTGTTTTCGAAAAAAAAAATATTGGTTTGCACGATCATGTCTGATAAGCACTGAGTAGGAGAACGGGTTTATCATCATTTATATTTATGTCATCCTCACATAAGCTTATAAGTGTGTAAGTTATAATCCTCCCCGTCTACCTCCCCTGATACATATCTTTGCGGACTAATGGCCTCTAAACACTTACTTTATTACACACATTTGTTATGTGACAAATCTTGCTAACACATCATTTTAAAGTTTATACATGAGGTGGCAAATGTCAGAAATAAATGAAAAAAAAAAAATCCCAGTTCCTAGCTTGGTTCTGATATTTACACTGAAAATGAAATTTCATATCTCCAGCTTATGAAAAAAGCCCTTCTTAGTTACACACTGGCTTTAAAATATTTTCATTTAATACTTCCATACGTACATTTCCCATTTATCATATGCCTTATAATTTAGACTAAAAAAAACTCTACTAAGTGGGTTTGACACATCTTTTATAGAGTGCTGAAAGCACAAAAATTTGCTGTTCTTATGTAACTGGTAATATTTCTTCTGTTGTTTATTTTCAAAGAGGAAATATATTTTTTATTGTGAATGTGGCATCCGATGACAGCCAAAAAACCTAAAGCTCCATTTCTTCCCCACAGTTCCACGCCCCAGAGATAATCCCAGTTACCAGTTGGAATAGGAAAGGAACACTTTCCTAGTGATTTTTTTCTTTGTGCCCATCTCTTCCCCAGTCAAAATGAGCAATTTCATTTCCTCTGTGTACTTTCAGGAGCCTTCAATCGGAGGAAACGAAACTCCATTTATGTCACCGTGACTTTGCTGATAGTGTCCGTGTTAATTCTCACGGTGGGCCTTGCTGCAACCACCAGGACCCAGAATGTGACTGTTGGAGGTTATTACCCTGGAGTTATTGTAAGTATAAAAGACATAGGTGGGTCTCAGTAGCTTGCTGGCTACAGACATTTGGGTTCTACTTCAATAGTTTTCAATTTGGTTTGAGTTTCTAGTGTTTGCTCAGTTTTCCTCCTTAATATATATAATACAAAGACAACTCTTGGCTCATTAAGAAGAACACTGGACTAAGCATCTCCATCCCTAACTAGCAGTGTGATTTGGAGCATTCCTCTGTGGGCATCTGCTTTCCAATATATAATAGAGTCTCCTGATCTTACCTGAAATCTAAGGACCCTGGCAGCTTGACACTCTGATATCAAAAGTGATCCTGCACTCCTATCAGGAAAAATGTGTAGAATATTTATTCTTAAATATCTATATTTGTTCTTTTATAAATTATGTACCTACTTATAAAATATGCAAAGTGGACATTCAAAATTTAGATACAGTGAAATCAACAGTAATTTTAACATCTTTATATTAATACTAATTAAATTGCAAAGAATGATATGCATGTCATATGAAGTCTGTCATTTAAGATAGTGGCTATAAATCCTAATTCAGATAATCCACTAGATAATTTTGAATATTTTTGGATGACTTATTCCCAGATGATTAGATTGCCATTGCATCATTGACCTGGTGCTCGGATTCATGCACATAGAAAGGAAATTAATTAAAAGGTGGCCAGTGGGGTGGAACTGGGTAGAGTTGGACACACCCTGGAGCCAAATGCCTGTGGTCCCTCCCCAGCCTCTGCAGAGTGAGTAGGGTCCCTCAGGCAGGTGGGGTCCCTCGGCCTGGCCTGGAGGACTGGGCCAAAACTGGCTCTCCGACATCCCCCAAGGGGTCCCAGAATACGAGAAGGTATTCTGCAAAGTTGCTGTCATACAGGGCGTAGAATGCAAACACAAGTGTGCAGTAAACCAGATTTGAGGTTGACAGTGCCCCAGCAACAACATAACCCACCCACAGCAGAAGATGGAATTGCCCAGCCCCTCAAGGAATCAGGCTCCCTCCTCTCTGGTTTTGGGAAGCATCACCTGAGAACCTCTGCTGCCAAGTCACTACAACTCGGCAGTTCCTGCATAGAGCATCTGCCCCCTGGTGGTCAGTACACATCATAGTGACCAGTCAGATGATTAGACACTTAGCATATTAGCCTTTTATATACATACTAGAGGCCCAGTGTGTGAAAATCGTGCACGGGGGAGGAGGGTCCCTTAGCCCAGATTGCAAGAAGGCACAGGCTAGGCCGAGGGACCCATGGGTGCATGATCAGGCCCTGGGAGGGATGTGGGAGGTTGGCCAGCTGGGGAGGGACCGCAGGAGGGCTCCAGGGCATGTCTGGCCTTTCTTGCTCAGTTCTGATTGGCCAGACCCCAGCAGCAAGCTAACATACCTGTTGGACCATCTGCCCCTGATGGTCAGTGCACATCATAGCGACTGGTTGACTGGTTGACTATCTCCCCCCCGGTTGTCACATCATAGTGAGCGGTTGAGCAACCTTAGCATATCATTAGCACATTATGCTTTGATTGGTTGAACAGACAACGAAACACTTAGCATATTAAGCTTTTATTATATAGGGTGTGTGTGTGTGTGTGTGTGTGTGTGTGTGTGTGTGTGTGTGTGTTTATTTGTTTTAGGAAGAGAGGATGGGAGAGGGACAGAGAGAGAGAATCATTGATCAGCTGCCTCCTGGGGATGGAGCTCACAACCCGGGCATGTGCCTTGACTGGGAATATAACCAGTGACCTCTTGGTTCATGGGCTGAAGCTCAACCAGTGAACATCATTGTTTTTTAATGTTGCTCTTGCCATGTGGCTGACAAAAAGTGCATCCTAAGAGTTACAAGTGTCAACTCTATTGTTTTCTTATTGCTGACTTGTGCTTACATTATTAGGATCATCTTCAATTTGTGGTTTCTCAGCAGTAGTCTTTCTGAACTACTTGTCTATTTTGTTTGGATTAATTTAGTTACTAGTAAAACTAGATAAGACAGTCTGGTTACATAAAATGCTCCACCATCAACCTTTTGCTGCTTGGAACTTTCCCTCCTCCCTCAGGGTAGCTCACCTTGTCTGATATTCACACTGAGAGAGGTGCCAATGACAGCCTGTTTATTGAATTCTTGAAACACTTAATTCCTTTCTTATTTTAAATAAACAAATAGGAAACAAGAGTCCAAATAGTTTCTTTCCATACCTCAGTGGATTGTTTTACCCATTCCCAGGGTGCATGCAATCTGCTTTGGAAACTGCTGCACTCTTTACATACAAAACCTAATTTATTTATTGTAATCCTCACTCAAGGGTATGTTCTTCCATTGATTTCTAGAGAAAGGAGGGAGAGAGGAGAGAGGAGGGAGGGAGGAAAGAAGGGAAGAGAGGAACATCTACATGAGAGAGACACCTGGATTGGTTGCCTCCCTCACTGGCCCTACGGGGCTAGGGAACTGGCAACCTTGATACAACCTTGATACGTGCCCTTGACAAACCTGCAGACCTTCAGTCTGAAGGCTGACACTAACCACTGAGCAACTGGCCAGGGCACATAAAACCTCATTTTATATAAAACCATCACATTGTACACTTTAAATATATACAATTTTATTTATTAGTTATGCCTCAATAAAGCTGGGTTGGGGGAAGGAAAGAAAAACAAACAAAATCTCATTTGGATCTATACACACTGCTGTTAAACCCCAAAACCTAACTCTAGAATTTGGATCATATTTTCAATATCAAATGAATTCCCAAATGTAACTGTGGGAAAATAGTAAGGTATTTTAGGATGGTTCATTCTTTTAATATATATTTTTTAGAATAGCAAATATATCAGACGTATTTGTTTTCTTTATTTTCTTCTCTCTCTCTCTCTCTCTCTCTCTCTCTCTCTCTCTCTCTCTCTCTCTCTCTCTCTCTCTCTCTCTCTCTCCTTTTGAGAGGTGGGGAAGAGAGAGAGAAACAAAGAGAGGGAAAGGGGTAAAAGATGGATGCCTTTGACAAGCCAGCAGTGAACAAGCCTGTCGCCTGTTGCCTAGGTCAGAAATTCCATAGTCAGCCTCCTCAAGAGCACTAGCAAAACTAGAGCATCACGTGGGCTGGACTTCCAGGAGCTGAAGGTGGCCTGGGGGTGTGGCTTTACAGTTTTAGGACCAGCAGGGCTCCCCTAGCCAGCCAAGAGTAGGTGTCCCACAGACACAGTTTGGTGCCCTCTGTTAAACATATGATGTGAGAACTCACCCAGTCCATTTCCTGTGGTGAGACCAGAAAACCAGTCATCAGCAGAATTGGATTTTACTTTTAAACACAAGCAAGGTGGGGTGGGGGTAGGAAAGGGAGGGGAGATTGCATTTTGGTGGCTTAGAAAAGCAATATTAGGGTCTGTGTGACTTTGTGTGTTTCAGATAGCTGCATTTAGTGAAATATTTCTTACTGATTAGCTAATAATGCTTAAGCCAAGATTCAGATTCTCCATGGGTGAAGAAAAGCATTTTCCATGAGATTTGAGAGTAGGAATTCCTATTCACGAAGGGTGGCTATGAACTTTCTCTGTAGAAGCTCTGGCTGTGGGTGGTTAGGTGGGAATACATTAACAAAGGAAGGAGGGTGCATGATTGTTGTTACTTGAGTACCTGATGTTCAGCTAGAGCTGCAAGTTGAAGCAGTGGGGGCGTGTGTCTCTGTGTGTGCTCTTCACTAAAAGCTAATCTGGAAATATTTATAGGAGAGCCATCTTTAACAGACAGTGTGCCCCATGGTTTAACCTTTAAAAATTTGTTCTTATAGTTCCTGTTGATTTTTAAAGGGTTTTAATTATAGAAAGCGAAGGAGGAAAATTACAGTTAGAAAAGCAGAAAAATCCATTTGAGTCTACAGGTCAGATCATGTTGTAACAAATACAATTAGGATTCATATCTGTGAAACAGTAAGTGCCTGAGAATCAAGATTTGTCCAGGAATGGGTCACTTTCACTAATTGAATAATTTGGCAATATAAACTCCAAGCCAGTAGTTTTCCCACCTTGGCATGCATAGAAATGACCTGGCAAATGTGAAAAATACAGAGCTCTGCTCCCTACCCCCAGAGATGCTGATTAGTTTGTCTGGGTGGGACCCTAGGCCCTGAGCTTTCTTTTCCTGCAATAACCTTTGATTGAAATAGTAAAACCTGCTAAATATGCATTTTAATGAACACCTCAGGGGAGTCTAATTCAGGTGGACAAGCAACTAAAACAATAAATACAGTGTGCTTAGCAATAAAACCAGAATGAGCATAATATAGCATTTTAAGATTTATACTCTCAAATTGGTCACTTTGAATATAAAATGCTATTGATAGGTCTGGGAAAAATTTTCAGGTTATTTGGAACCCAGCTGTTTTGGAATCCCGTTAAATGTGTTAACAATATATGAGAAGTTAAATTTAAAAACAGATAAATTATGGAGCAATTATTAGATTAAAAGAAAGAAGACTCACCGAAACTGGTTTGGCTCAATGGATAGAGCGTCGGCCTGCAGACTGAAAGGTCCCGGGTTCGATTTCGGTCAAGGGCATGTACCTGGGTTGTGGGCACATCCCCAGTAGGAGGTGTGCAGGAGGCAGCTGACCGATGATTCTCTCTCATTGATCTTTCTAACTCTCTAACCCTCTCCTTTCCTCTCTGTAAAAAAAATCAATAAAATATATTTTTTTAAAAAGAAAGAAAGAAGACTTACCATACAATTCATTTAAATATTGAGATCTTGAGCATTTTAAAATATAATAGCATTTGCATAACTCTAAGTCATGTGAAACTTTTCTGGGGCATACTTATTTTGCCAAATGAGATGCCCTTGTACAACAAGGTGCATTGTGATAGAGTGTTAGCTACTCACCTGAGCTAGAATGTGGTATCATCACCCTAAGACACACATGTACACATGCATCTTTAAAATTATACTCATCTATACAGGCTGAATTGTACAATTTACAAAAATTAAAATCCCCCCCAAAAGACATCAATTGAGTATT